AAAGTTGACAATCAGTGGTGACTTTTTAGTGTCACCGCTGATTGTCAACATGTTTTAAAATATGTTATAATTTTTTTAAAATATGTCAATTAAGATTTAGTAAATGGACATTTTTTACATGGTTAGCTGAAACTCCACTAATAAAACAATAAAACATCTATTAACTACATGCAAGAAGCATGTGTAGTAATTTCTTTATCATGTAGCATTTTCCAGAATCTAGAGTCATGCAAAGGCACACGAAACAACAGACCCATTGTAAGGACAATATATGCATATAGATAGTCAACTCAATAATGACAGTAAGAATTTGATATTCTACAGCTCTGAACTTAGTCTAGGAGCCTAAAGAACTGCAATGTTGTGTCATTAATCTGCCAAAACTGGTGAGTGGATTCTTCCCCCCTCCCCCCCAAAAAAAAGGAGGTGTATGGCATGGGTGATGGTAAATTCAACTATTGCTTGCCTTCAATGCTTTTATGAAAGGGTTTAAGAGCACAGCTCACGAGTCATAACAGAATCAGCAGTGACTTTTTAGTATCGCTGCTGATTGTCAACATTTTTATAATTTTTTTAAAAAAATTATGTTGTAAGTTTCACCGGTGACATACAAGTTGCCGCTGAAAGTTGAGAATCAACAGTGACTTTTTAGTGTCGCTGCTGATAGTCAACATTTTTATAATTTTTTTAAAAAATTATGCTGTAAATTTCAGCAGCGACTTGTATGTCGCCACTGAAAGTTAAGAATTAGTGGTGACTTTTTAGTGTCGCCACTGATTGTCAACATTTTTATAATTTTTTAAAATTATGTTGTAAGTTTTAGCGATGACATACAAGTCGCCGCTGTAAGTTGAGAATCAGCGGTGACTTTTTAGTGTTGCCACTGATTGTCAACATTTTTCTAATTTTTTTTAAAAAAATTATGTTATAAGTTTCAGCGGTGACATACAAGTCGCTGTTGAAAGTTGAGAACCAGCTACAACTTTTTAGTATTGCCACTGATTGTCAACATTTTTATAATTTTTTTAAAATATTATATTGTAAATTTCAGCGGTGACATACAAGTTGCCACTAAAAGTTGAGAATCAGCGGCGACTTTTTAATAATGCCGCTAATTGTTAACATTTTTATAATTTTTTTTAAAATATTATGTTGTAAGTTTCAGCGATGACATACAAGTTGCCGCTGAAAGTTGAGAATCAGCAGTGACTTTTTAGTGTCACTGCTGATAGTCAACATTTTTATAATTTTTTTAAAAAATTGTCACACCCCAAAATAGGAAGTGACCGGCACAGGATGCGAACCACACATACATCCCGTAAGCCACAAATTCAAGGTTTATTTCATTTAATTACAAAAAAAGTACTCAATTATTCACTAACATTTTAATACTATTACTACTAATTATTTCAACATCTCGTAAAAATTTTAACAGAACCATCTTTGTAAATAAGATCTACTAAAAATTCTGTATCATAAAAATTTTCCTCAAACATTATATCTATCAAGAACTCGGCTCCTTCAAGCCAACAGACAAAATGTATAATAAACTAAGGATTTTAATTATAAGTTATGTGGAGCACCTAATCATATATCTCATAATATAATACATAAATTTCATATTTACATCAATAAGCCATGTTTACAAAGCAAGCCTCCACTCCGAAAACATCCGTCATTGGTAAGTAAGACGTACAGCGTCAATTATGCTATCTAAGACCAAATAATTTTTCAGTGAATAACGTCCCAACAATAAATAATTTCACATGAATAAAATGAAAAGTTTGAAATAGTTGTGTAAGTTAAACAGACAAAATATTTATAAAAATTTAATAAACTTCACAATAAAATGGCTCTGTAAATTTTAAATAAAATCTCAAATTATTGAACTATCATATCAAATGTTAATTTCACTTGATTTTAAGAAGTCTCATAACGGAAATAAATACTTGTAAATAAATTACTCAATAAAAACCAATGGGATATCAAATCACCAATAATCAGATTCATAACCATAGGGACTTATCAGAACAATTATCAAACGTGGACACAAAGTCCACGAAGGTAAATAATCCAAACGCGGCTTGTGCCACGAAGACAAACGTGGACACACAATCCACGAGGGTAAATTACCAAACGCAACCGAAGCCACGAAACAAACGTGGACACCCAGTCCACGAGGGTAATACTAACCAAACGCGGCTCAAAGCCACGAAATCAAACGTGAGTACAATGCTCACGAATAACCATCCCTCCGTTCCACGTGCGTTGGCCATCGCATGGGGCTAGCACCTCCTATAAACACCCTGCTAGCTAGGTGTACCATGGCGCGCCAAGGGCTAATGGAACTGCCGTTAGCAACCAGTGTTCCGTATAAAGTCCCTTTTTAAAATCATTTTCAAACATGCAAGAAAATCATCATTTTCAAGATACAGTTCTCATTCTCAAAATCAAACTCGCATGAATACTTTTGAGCATTAAAACATGCCACGATAAAATTTCATATCTGAAGTCCATATTTGGCATTTATTGCATAACTCAGAATAACCAGGGTTGATAAAAAAATAATCTCATCAATTTTTTTAAAAGTATTCATTATAAAAAAAAACATACGCATACCATAACTCAATTATCTTTCAAAACTTCTTTATAATTTCCCAAAATAAGAATTTAAATGACAAAATATTCAATACTTAACATAATTGTCATTAAAATGATTTGCATAAATATAATATTTCAGAAACTAATTTTATGATAAAGCAGTTGGGACGCTATCCACTTACTTATAATATGCCCGAGCATCAAAATTCATTTCTTAGAACTTCAATCAACTCCTCCTTTCTCTTAGCATCCTATTCAATATAAAGAAAGATTTAATGGACTTACTTTAGTTAAATAAGTTATTTTCTAATATTGAAAACACTATAGTGAATTGACTTCAAATCATTATAATTTAATCAACCAAATCTTAATTTCTTCCATCCTTTTAATACTTTACATGCCTACTTCCCATCCAACAAATTGCTTATATCTTAATTTGTTTTCCCAACTATTCTTTAAATTATGTAACCAAACATTAATCAGGTTGCGTATAAACATATCTAAATACACATACACCCCCACATTTACTCTCTCAAGTCATCGAACATCTTTCATGCATATCAAGATTAAATAATTCAACAACACTAAGGTTTGTAAGTATCAACCATTAGACTCTCAAGAGCTTAGCTAATCAATTCTTCCTCAAATCTCAAGTTAATACATCAATAACCTATACCAAGTATGCTAAAAAAATTTTTTTTAGTAAACATTCAAAAAAATACATATTCAAGTAGACTCCACCTAACAGACATTTCATCTAACAACTTGTAAACATCAAATCTTAATTTATAATTCCAAATTAATTTCTTATTAATTCTCATTCTAGTCAAATTCTCAATATCAACCAATCTAACAAAATTTAATTTAGATTAGAATCCAGAACCCATATATATATATATGTGTATATATATATATATATATAATGAAGCCTTGGAAATCACTTTCTAACTCCCACAACAGCACGAGTGATAAATGATAATTTTATATATTTTTATTCTTTTAATTTAGACTTTTAATTATTTATTTAAGGCTAATTGAGTTTAATTAGATATTATTTGATTTTATTAGCTAATATTCAGTTTTGAATTTTAACTAACTAAATCTTTGATTTTAAAATATAAATAATATCTTTAATATTTTTGCACAGGTGCTATTTAATTTTATTTTATTTGTGCAGATTTTCTAGATTCAATTTGAAAGATATTGATGAAGAATATTTTGGATAAGAAGAATATGGGCATGCTTGGAGATCAAATCAAGAATCAAATCTTTAAAATTTTATTTGAATTTATTTTGGATTATTTAGTGTAATTTTTAATTAGGGTCCACTTTTCATATATATATATATATATGAATAGATGGGGGACGGAGAGGAAGCACGATCTGGGAAAAAAAAAGGAAAGAAGGGAAACAGAGCAGCGATCGCCATTCGTCTTTCCTTCTTCCAATTTCTTGGGTGATGGCTTCTCAATTTTTCATTTCATGTTGTTTGATTTTTAATTCTATGGAGAGCTAATTTTTTTTTGGTGTGATCAATCACAAACCATGATCCTAAATTTTAATCAGAGTCTTTAATATTCAGGAAAGATTTTATTTTAGCTTTATTCCAATTTTCTCTTCTTCTCTCTACCTCTAAATTTTATGCTTTAATTACTATTACTGATTAGAGTAGCTTTATTGCATAATTTTTGAGTTATAAATTTTATCTGAGGTTTTAATTGCTATAATCGATTGATATAGCATTGTAAGAGTAATTTGGCTTGGCTTGGGTGATTATCCATGCTTTGTTTTTGGTGTGGCTATAAAACAATTGTTAGGTTGTGGGTTAAAGGAGATTTCAATTAATCTATAACTTAACTTCTTGTTTAATTCTTGAATGATAATTTGAGAAATATTATAATGAAACCAGAATAATAAAGTTGAATAAAATTAATTTATTTTGTAGACGAGGAAGGTTAAATTTAGGTGATTGGGTTGTGATTGATTGCGCTGCTTGTTGTCGGTAATTTTCTTAATTGAATTTCCTCTATTTATTTATTTATAATTTAGTTTTTAATTTCATCATAAAAAAAACCCCCCCATTATTTACCTTTTCATAATCATAATTTAAATAGTTACTCTATTGACTCTTAGGGAGACGACCTAGGTTGCACTTTACTGCAAAATCTAGTTTTTATTAATTTTGGTGCTGTTCGACAGTAGTGTCAAAATTTTGGCGCCGTTGCCGGGGAGTCAAAGGTGTTAACTTTTTGAGTTTGGTTATTAGTTTTTTTTTTTCTCATTATTTTTATTTTTTTTTTTTTTTTCTCTAGTATTTTTTATTTTTTTCAAGATTTATTATTATTTTTTGTCTTTACTTGTTTTAGGTGTTTTTCATTGTTTTTCCAGTTTATTAGTGCATGACAAGATCTTTACAAGATAAATTAATTGATTTGAACTCTGAGATTGAGAGAACTTGTCGTACTAACCGTAAAAATCAAAAGCACCGTAAAATTAGGGATAGTGTGATCTCTGAAATTTTGTCTGAATTGATTGATAGCATTATTAGTGATTCTAAATCTGACTTAGACTCTACAGTTAAGTTGGAAAATATGGCTGAAAATAATAATGGTAATAGAACAATTAAAGAATTGGCTGCTCCTAATGCACACTATCAAAATTTATGCATTCAATATCCTAATTTAGATGCAAATGCTAGTTTTGAATTGAAATCTGGTTTAGTACATTTGCTACCTAAATTTCATGGTCTTACAGGAGAGGACCCGAATAGGCACTTGAAGGAATTTCATATTGTGTGCTCCACCATGAAGCCTCAAGGAGTTTCAGAAGAGCAAATCAAATTGAGGGCTTTTCCTTTTTCATTGGATGGAGTGGCAAAAGATTGGTTGTATTACTTGCAACCAGGTGCCATTACATCTTGGGATCAAATGACACAGTTATTCTTAGAAAAATTCTTCCCTGCCTCTCGCACAGCTGCAATTAAAAAGGATATTTGTGGGATTCGTCAGATGACTGGGGAGACATTTCATGAATATTGGGAGAGATTTAAGAAATTATGTGCCAGCTGCCCTCACCATCAAATACCTGATCAGCAGCTGGTTCAACATTTTTATGAAGGTCTCTTACCAACAGATAGGTGGTTTGTTGATGCCGCAGCTGGTGGTGCTTTGGTAGAACTTACTCCAACTGATGCCATGAATCTCATTTCTAAGATGGCACAAAATTCTCAACAATTTGGGACACGAGCTAACCAAGCAGTTAAGGGGGTGAATGAGATTCCAACACCACAATATGATCCTAAATTTGAGAACAAGATGGAGGAGCTCTCTAGCATGGTTCGGCACATTGCCTTAACACAACAAAAATTAATGAATTCACCAGCAGTGCCAACTTTTCCACAGGCGTATCCCTCACAGACGTGTGCACAACCTCAATTTTATAATCCTCAGCAAGCTACCACATCTTCTGCCTTAGTTGGGCCTCTATGTGGCATCTGTTTTTTAGCCACACACACTACTGATCAATGCCCACAGTTGGATGATAGAGTTGAGAATTGTGCTGGGATTTTTCCAACTAGATCTATGCAACAGGGCCAAAAATATGATCCTTTCTCTAACACTTATAATCCAGGGTGGAGAGATCACCCTAATTTCAGATATGGAGGAAGCCAACAACAACAATATAATGCTACAGGTCAAAATTCACAGCCTATGCAACCAATGAGGCAATCTACTCCTATTTCAGGGTCTAAAAATGATGGACCAAGTCTAGAAGAGTTAATGAAGCAAATGGCAACTAATAACATTCAATTTCAACAACGCACTGAGACAGTAATCCAAAAATTGGAGAATCAAATTGGGCAGTTGTCCACCTCCGTTAATGAATTGAAGAGTCAAGGTTCTGGAAAGTTGCCTTCTCAAACAGTTGTAAATCCTAATTGTAGTAATGTTAGTGCTATCACTCTTAGAAGTGGAAAGGAGCTTCCAGAGCCCTCCACAACATCTATCAAGAATAAGTCGGCTGCAGCAACACAAGTCACACTTGAGGAGGCTAATGAAGAAAAGGAACCAAGGAAGATCCTTCCATTTCCAAATAGGGAGACTCAAAGCAAGAAGTTAAAGGAAGCTGAATTGGAGAAAGAAGTGCTTGATGTTTTCAAGAAGGTTGAAGTCAATATTCCCCTTTTGGAGGCAGTAAAGCAAATTCCTAAATATGCAAAGTTCTTGAAAGACCTATGCACGAACAAGAGAAGATTCAAAGCTAACGAGAAGGTCAATCTAGGAAGAAGTGTATCAGCTTTATTTCATGAAGGAATGCAGTGCCAACCCCCTATGCCCTTAAAATGCAAAGATCCAGGGAGTTTCACTATACCCTGTACTATAGGAAATTTAGAATTTTCTAACGCTTTGATTGATCTTGGTGCAGCGATAAATGTTATGCCCAAGTCTCTATTTTCTTCTTTGCAGGGTTGTGAGATGAAGCCAGCCGGGATTATTGTCCAATTAGCAGACAGGAGACTTGCCTATCCTAGTGGTATGCTTGAAGACATTCTAGTTAAGGTAAAAGATTTAGTCTTTCCTGCTGATTTTTATATTTTGGATATGGGTAAAAATGATAGTCATGGGCCACCACCACTGATTTTGGGTAGGCCATTTCTTAAGACAGCTAATACTATCATTAATGTTAAAGATAGTACTCTTTCCATGGAATTTGCAGGACGTGTTGTTCAATTTAATCTTTTAGAGGCTATGAAACATCCTATAGAGGATCATTCTGTTATTAATGTGAGCATGCTTGATATGTTAATTGATGATACATATGATGAGCTTTACAATGAGATGGTTTCTAGTTCTCTTGAGATTGTTGATTTAGATAGCAATACACATTGTTCTGACTCTATTATTTATGAAGATTCTTCTGACTGTTCTGGTTCTGATGATATTGTTGAGTTATTCAAATCCATGCATGATATTGGCATTGAAACTTCTAGTGACTCTGATATGATTGCTTCTGACTCTGAAAGAACTATAGACTTTGCTATCAACTCTATGTCATGTAATTCTATTAATAATGATAATTCTAGTATTCTAGAACAAGATACTGCTGCTTCTTTTGATGGAATGCAGGTTTGTGGAGTTGATGAGCTAACTATCGATAAGCTAGTTCCCTCTATTCAGCAGCCACCTATACTTGAATTGAAAGATCTACCAGAACATTTGAAATATGCATTCTTAGATGAAGGTAAGAAATTACCGATTATTATAGCAAAGGATTCTGATCCTTGCCAAGAGGTAAAATTGTTAGAGGTACTGAGAAAGCACAAGAAAGCTATAGGATGGACACTAGCTGACATTCCAGGCATCAGTCCAGATATATGCATGCATAGGATCTTAATGGAAGACGGTGCAAAGCCATGTAGGCAACCTCAAAGGAGGCTTAACCCACTTATCATTGATGTGGTCAAAAAGGAGGTAACAAAACTTCTTTCTGCAGGTATCATTTACCCTATTTCTGATAGCCAGTGGGTGAGTCCAGTACAGGTAGTGCCAAAGAAGAGCGGGATCACAGTTGTAAAGAATGAAAAGAACGAGTTGATTCCTATGAGAGTGCAAAATAGCTGGAGGATGTGCATCGACTACAGGAAGCTAAATAATGCAACCAGGAAGGATCACTTCCCTTTACCTTTTATTGATCAAATGCTAGAGAAATTAGCAGGCAAATCTCACTACTGTTTTCTAGATGGTTTTTCAGGTTATTTTCAGATTTGCATAGCTCCAGAGGACCAAGAGAAGACAACATTCACATGTCCATTTGGCACATTTGCTTATAGGAGGATGCCATTTGGATTATGCAATGCCCCAGCCACATTCCAGAGATGCATGATGAGTATTTTTGCAGATTTGCTAGACTATTGCATAGAGGTTTTTATGGATGATTTTACTGTATATGGAGATTCATTTGATGAGTGTCTAGTAAATTTAGATAAAGTACTTGAGCGATGTATTGAGAAAAATCTTGTATTAAACTTTGAAAAGTGTCATTTCATGGTTAGACAAGGTATTGTATTGGGTCATGTTGTTTCTGAGAGGGGGATAGAAGTTGATAAGGCTAAGGTAGATGTGATTACTTCTTTACCTTATCCTACTAGTGTTAGAGAGGTCCGTTCTTTCCTTGGACATGCAGGATTTTACAGGAGGTTTATACAGGATTTTAGCAAGATAGCCTTACCACTCTCAAGATTGCTGCAGAAAGATGTGGATTTCAAATTTGATAAAGCTTGTGAGCAAGCATTTGATGAGTTAAAGAAGAGATTGACCACTCCACCAATCATTCAACCGCCAAATTGGGATTTACCTTTTGAATTATTATGTGATGCTTCTAATTATGCTCTTGGCGCAGTACTTTCACAAAAAGTTGATAAGAAATCACATGTCATAGCTTATGCTTCCAGAACTTTAGATGCAGCCCAAGCCAATTATACTACCACTGAAAAGGAGCTTTTAGCTATTGTTTTTGCATTAGATAAGTTTAGATCATATCTTTTGAATGCAAAAGTTGTTGTGTTTTCTGATCATGCAGCATTAAAGTATCTCTTAAGGAAGCCAAATGCAAAGCCACGATTAGTCAGATGGATGCTCTTGCTACAGGAGTTTAACTTAGAGATAAAGGATAAGAGTGGAGCTGAGAATTTGTCGCAGACCATTTGAGTCGCATTGAATCTCCTATGGTTCCTTCTATTCCTATTGATGATAATTTTCCTGATGAATGCTTATATGCTATGCATGATGTTACTCCTTGGTATGCTGACTTAGTTAATTACTTAGCTGCCTCTGCATTGCCTGTGCATTTAAAGAAACATCAATTAGATAAGTTCAAGAGGGAAGCTAGATATTACATATGGGATGATCCATACCTTTGGCGCATATGTAGTGACCAGATTATTAGGAGATGTATTCCTGACATTGAGTTTGAATCCATATTGCATTTTTGTCACACACTTGCTTGTGGAGGACACTTTGGTCCACAACGCACTGCTAGAAAGGTTCTTGATTCTGGATTGTACTGGCCTACTCTATTTCGTGATGCATATACATTTTGTAAACATTGTGCTAGATGTCAGCATACAGGAAATATCTCCCGTAGAAATGAGATGCCTCAACAACCTTTACTTTTCTGTGAAATATTTGATGTATGGGGTATTGATTTCATGGGACCTTTTCCTGTTTCATTTGGATTTGCTTACATTTTACTAGCTGTGGATTATGTTTCTAAGTGGGTGGAAGCTAAAGCCACCAGAACTGATGACTCTATTGCTGTTGTAGATTTTGTTAGATCACATATCTTTTGCAGGTTTGGTATTCCAAAGGCCATTATCAGTGACCAAGGGACCCATTTTCGTAATCGGAGCATGCAGAGTTTATTGGGTAAGTATGGGGTCGTGCATAAGATGGCTACCCCTTATCACCCCCAAACTAATGGGCAAGCTGAAGTCTCGAATCGAGAGATAAAGCAGATTCTTGAAAAAACAGTGCAACCTAATAGGAAAGACTGGAGTAAGAGACTTGATGATGCATTGTGGGCATACAGAACTGCCTACAAGACTCCAATCGGAATGTCTCCTTATCGGCTTGTTTTTGGGAAAGCTTGTCACTTACCTGTGGAGATTGAGCATAAAGCTTATTGGGCAGTAAAGCAGTGCAATATGGATTTAACTAAAGCAGGAGCCCAAAGAAAATATCAATTGCAAGAGCTTGAAGAATTTCGCTTGGAAGCATATGAAAATTCAAGAATCTACAAGGAAAAGACCAAGTTAATACATGATAAGCTGATAGTTAGAAAAGAGTTCAAGGTGGGACAAAAAGTGTTACTCTATAATGCCAGATTGAAACTTATGCCAGGAAAACTTCGTTCTAGATGGGAAGGTCCTTTTATAGTTACTAAAGTGTTTTCTTATGGTGGAGTAGAGATTATGGCAGAATCTACTGGAGCAAAGTTTAAAGTTAACGGGCATCGGTTAAAGCATTTTTATGATGGATTTGAGACACACATTGTGGAGGAGTCTTCCCTCCAAGATAACTTAATCGATCAGGTTGTATCATTTCTCTTCACTTTTAATTTACATTTTCCTATACATCTTTCGAACTATGTTCTACATTGAGGACATTGTAGATTTTAAGTGTGGGGGGAGGTTTTTTTGCTGTTTTTTTTTTTTCTTGTTTTCATTTTTTTTTATTTTTGTGTTCTTGTTTTCAAAATAAAAAAAATAAAAAAAATAATTTGTGCGAAGTTGCAAATTTAAGACAATTTTAGTTTGAATGCATTTGAGCATGATAAGTAATTGATCTTATGTTTAGAATTTAAGTTAAGTGGCATGAGTTTGGTTTCAATGAATTAATGTGATAGCCTTTAGCTTGTAAAGATTTGAGCCTAATATTATTCTCTTTTTGTGTGTATTCTGCTATCACTACTCCCACTCTAGAACTTGTCTTGATTCTTAGTTGAGACTATAATTGCATATGCTTTGCATGAAGATGATTTAGGCATTCTTTTTTTAGCCTACTTAGCCAAATAGCCATCCCATGCAATTTATCCCTTGTTAGCCCCTTTGAGCCTAAACCTTTTCTTTAAAATTTTAGCCAATTGAAAACATAACCTATAAAAATATTTTCCTTTCATTCTTCTCACCCCACTTTAGGTGATGAAAAGTGTATTATAATATTTGTTGGAATGAAAGAATATGCTTGAAGAGAGATTTGGGTTATTTTGAAAAAAAAAACGAGAGAAAAAAAAAGCAAAGAAAGAAAGGAAGAAAAGAAAAGAAAAGAAAAGAAAGAGCATAAAAGTCATAACACAACAAAAAAAAAAAAAAAGGTGCATGAAGCAAAGGAAAGGAAAACAAAATAAAGAGAGAAAAATAAACCCAAATCAATTTATTTTGTTTCTTTCATTCTATATATTTCGTTTCAAATATACTTTTCATTATCCTAAAGTTTATTAACCTTCATTTTCCTATATCATACCTTTACCTAAGCCCCATTACAACCTAAACTAAAGTCCTATTGATTCTTACATTGCATATGACATAAATAGTGGAGACCTAGATGATAAACAAGCCTATGGTAGTGAGTTTTAATAGGGGAACTTGAGTGAAACACTTACCTATATACATTTGAGAGTTGAGAGTTAAACACTTGACCTTTGTGAGTGGCTATTGCTTATTTATTCTTACCAAATGAAATTGCCATGATACTTGTTATTCTCAATATAAGAGATATTGATTAAAGTGTTAAAATGTTGAAGAGCTATAATTATTTCTTATTCTTTGTTGCTTCCACAGTTCTTTTCTTAAATTTGAGATTTAAGTTTTGCCCAGGAGTGCAAAAGTCTAAGTGTGGGGGAATTGATAAATGATAATTTTATATATTTTTTATTCTTTTAATTTAGACTTTTAATTATTTATTTAAGGCTAATTGAGTTTAATTAGATATTATTTGATTTTATTAGCTAATATTCAGTTTTGGAATTTTAACTAACTAAATCTTTGATTTTAAAATATAAATAATATCTTTAATATTTTTTGCACAGGTGCTATTTAATTTTATTTTATTTGTGCAGATTTTCTAGATTCAATTTGAAAGATATTGATGAAGAATATTTTGGATAAGAAGAATATGGGCATGCTTGGAGATCAAATCAAGAATCAAATCTTTAAAATTTTATTTGAATTTATTTTGGATTATTTAGTGTAATTTTTAATTAGGGTCCACTTTTCATATATATATATATATATGAATAGATGGGGGACGGAGAGGAAGCACGATCTGGGAAAAAAAAAGGAAAGAAGGGAAACAGAGCAGCGATCGCCATTCGTCTTTCCTTCTTCCAATTTCTTGGGTGATGGCTTCTCAATTTTTCATTTCATGTTGTTTGATTTTTAATTCTATGGAGAGCTAATTTTTTTTTGGTGTGATCAATCACAAACCATGATCCTAAATTTTAATCAGAGTCTTTAATATCAGGAAAGATTTTATTTTAGCTTTATTCCAATTTTCTCTTCTTCTCTCTACCTCTAAATTTTATGCTTTAATTACTATTACTGATTAGAGTAGCTTTATTGCATAATTTTTGAGTTATAAATTTTATCTGAGGTTTTAATTGCTATAATCGATTGATATAGCATTGTAAGAGTAATTTGGCTTGGCTTGGGTGATTATCCATGCTTTGTTTTTGGTGTGGCTATAAAACAATTGTTAGGTTGTGGGTTAAAGGAGATTTCAATTAATCTATAACTTAACTTCTTGTTTAATTCTTGAATGATAATTTGAGAAATATTATAATGAAACCAGAATAATAAAGTTGAATAAAATTAATTTATTTTGTAGACGAGGAAGGTTAAATTTAGGTGATTGGGTTGTGATTGATTGCGCTGCTTGTTGTCGGTAATTTTCTTAATTGAATTTCCTCTATTTATTTATTTATAATTTAGTTTTTAATTTCATCATAAAAAAACCCCAT